CCTTGCTTTCCCTGGGTCCCTCTTTCCCCACAGCCCAGCCCTCCAGGAAGGGGGGCGAAACAGAGCGCCTGGCGTGTCGACACCGGCTGGAAACTACTGGATGGGAAGGGCGTACCGAAGCTGGGACCTCCACAAGCACAGGGTGGTCGTGGGGGCATGAGGGCCGCGGGAGTGACGCGGGGCTGGCTGGCCGGGGGCGTGGATCGGGGCCGCAGGGCTGAGGGGCAGCACCCAACGCCGGGGGGGCGGGAGGAGGGAAGCGGGGCTGCTGCCAGAGTAGAAGCACGAAGGCCGAGGAGGAGGCTGTAAGGACGCCCAGGCTCTCCATCCCCGAAACTGTCCGCAATGCTGCTCTAGTGAGCAGGAGGGAAGCCGTGATGCCAGGTGAACTTGGAAGCCGGGCGCCCCATGCCCCGCACTGCAGCGCGGGACCTGAGCTGCTCAACCCAGCCGGAGTGGGGCAGCAAGATAGAGGACCTGCAACCTGTGGGTGAAACAAAGCGGCACCCGGTGCTGACTCCCCCCATGGCTTCCCTCCCTCAGGGAATGCGTCTCCTTCTCGTCACCCATCGCTTGTGTTCCCCAGACCCTTTCCTGGCATGGACACTGCCGGACGTCTCCAGCGCCTCCTCGCCACCCCATTGTCTGGTCCAAAGCTAGAGGCAAGCGGCAAGCGGGTTGCCGTGGGGCAAAGAAAGAGCTCTGGGAGCTCTTGCCAGCGGGCCCCTGCTGGGGCGCAGGCCCTTGGCAGGCGTCCAGCCGTGCGGATCTGTGGCACCAGCCCCAGAGGCGTCCTGGGAGGCATCACAGGAGCACAACTGGAGGCAGTAGATTTTTGGGGAGGGACTTGGTGTTTCCTGTGGGTCACAGGTAGTGTGTCATAGCTGTTCTGTACCATCAGCATATCTGTTTACCCTATTTCTAAAATGCCTCTGTGGTTTTTGCCCAGGCTTGTCCTTCCAACTGGGAGAGCACTGAGCTCTTTAAAATTGCTGCTATGCAGCTGAATTTGTAGGAAGAAATTAACAAAAAAATTTAAAAAAAACTGTTACAGGGTGTCACACAACATGCTTGTCACCTTCAGCATTTTTGCAGAGGTTGGTGGGGGGAGGACTTGCAAGTAGGACTTGAGAAATGGCATAGAAACAGTTTGGGAAATACCAGGAAATCTCCCAGTTCCTTCTCCAAAATATAAACAGTGATCGCTGTTTCAAGTGATGCCATGAATGTACCAAGAGACATATTTTTAAAATCATGGGACTCTGGACACAGAGAGCCTGTTCTTCTTTTATAACAAATGCCGAGATTGGGCCCCCCCACTCCGGAAAAGATGTCATGGAGAGGAATATTTTCATAAAGCAAACATCGCAAGTGATTCTGGGTGCTCCCCCATCATTAAAAAGAGAGAAAGAGAAGCAGTTAGAATAGACCTTTTGGGTTAAAATAGCAGAACTTAAGGCATTTAAAAATAAATGACTGTTAAGTCTGCTTTAATGGAAAGCTTGGCAATTCTCCATGTGCTTGGTAGTACTCCCAGCCCAGTCATATTTAAACATCTTATATTTGGGGGCTGGAGGGGGGTTTGGTTCTTGTTTTTTCTTTTCTTTTTGCAAGTGAAAATAAAATGGATAAGGGAAACCTACATAGGATTATTTTGGGGTTTTTCGTTCCTGCAAGCTAGGAAATACTATGTTCACTAAGGAAAGCCTAATGCACATATAAACAGGTAACACACATCTGTAAATTATTTTCATGTCCCCAGGGCCTAAAAAACCTTCTAAGTGAAACCAGCATGCTTATATATTTTGCCCTGACAGCTCAGGGAGCAAAAATTGCCAAAAAGTGCAAGCTGATGAGAGTCCCAGCGTGGGAAAGTTAGTTTAGTGAGAAATTTGCCCTAAGCTATTTAAATAAAAGCAGTCGCTTTTTTTTTTCTCCCCGAGGATGCCTGAACAGGGACTAGATTGCCCATGTAGAGGAGAGAAAGTCACTTTTATCCCTTTGATCATTGTGATAAAATACTATTAGTTTTGGCTTCCTGATACTTGGCATGTTGAAAATGAGACCCCAGACCAGCTGCTGTGGTGCCACTTTTTCCTACCATTCTCTTGCTGACTTCATTCCTCTCACCACTGACTCGTGCGTGAGGAGAGGGGTTCGTGTACACACACACACCTCCTTTGCCTTTCCAAAGGGCTCAGAAAGGTAGAGTAAGACTACGTTTTGTGGGTCAGTTTTCAAAGAAGAAAAATCCAGGCTCGCCTGCAGCCTCGGGACACAGCGTGGCCCTGCTCAGGTCAGCGCATCGATAGCAAGACTCACATGCTGAGGCCAGGAAAGGCCTCTCATGGGTCTTCTGGGCAGCCACAGTCTTGGGGTCTCCAGTGTGGTTCCCCCCATGCCCCTGTTTCTACTGCTTTTTATTTCTTAAGATTTGGTGGCTTGGGGCGGGGGGTGTTTTGTGCTTCTCCATGGCGACTGTGGCAGCCATAAGATGCTACCATTTTATGAACAGGTCGCATGGCTCCCAGGACAGCCATGTTGCGAGAATACCCACCGAACTCCTTCCACATTGCAATCCTGTGCATGGGTTAAAAATGACCCCACATTTGGACACTGACCAGAGTTCATGGGGGTTCTCTGTGTTCTGGTGCAGAACGCCAGCAAAGTCCAGGCAAAATGCGGACCCCAAGGGGCTGTTCCGCCTGGGCAGTGAAGACCCATTTGCCTGACAGGACCTGCTCCTGGTCGAGATAAAAACTGTTAGTGCTGGTTGGTTGGTTGGTTACTGATTTTTTTGTATCCTGGAGTGGGGACATGAGGAGTCGGCCTGCTACTGAGTCAGCTTCCCCTGGGTCCATCCAACCCAGGACTGTGAAGACAGACTGGTGGTTGGGACCCTCCTGGGTTTCTGTCTGGGTTCTTTCCCAGCCCTTCCTGGAGCTGTCGGGGTTTGAACATGGAACATCTGCATGCAGAATAGGGGCTGCACCACTAAGTTGCAGGTTCTCTTTAAGACTAAAGCAAGATTCTAGTCCTCATGGTTCTAAACAGAGGGGTGACTTAGGCAGGAACACAGGAAGCTGCCTTAAGGTACTTGTTCCAGCCCAGTACTCTCAACACAGACTGAAAGCAGCTCTCTTTGGGATTCCTAGGAAGCAATTTTCCTGCCCTATCAGGAGAAGCTGTCAGGAGCAACCCTTGGACCTCTTTCCTCAAAGAAGGGTTTTCTCCCCTGAGCTATGGTCATTTGGTTGAAGAACAAGGTAAGATTCTAGTCCTCATGTTCTGGTAAAGAGGCAGCTTTTAAAGAGGCTCACAGGCCTCACCTTCTGCTTCTTCTGTCCATGGTTCCTCTGTTCCAGAATCGCTTACAGTGGTGGCAGTGGCTCTGCCCTTCAGGGATTTCAGCCAGGAGTGCTTTTCTGACCCTACCTGGAGCTCTTTGGGGTTTGCAAGTAGGACCTTCTGCAGGTGAAGCAGGGGTCTCCCACTGAGCCATGGCCCTCCAAAAGGCACAAGGGGCTCTTGCAAGTCAGAAATTAACTTTATACCACAGCTTCAGAAAGATCACTCTTATTTTCTGATGCATTTCCAAACTGCGAAAATAAACGTGCCAGCATTTAGAGGCATCATGACAGGAGATGAAGATGATTAGAAGACATTGTAATTCAAAGCTGACTGGATTCTCCACAGATAGTCATAAGACAAGTGGCAGGACGTGATGCTCTCCTGCCCTGTGTAAAGCCAGTGGAGAACGCGCATTGCCCCTCAAGAAGGCTCGCCTTATTTCAGCGCGGCGTCCGTGTCGCTGAGAAAGGGGAGCGTTGATGGCGGGCCAAGTGTCTGACCCAGCTCGGAGATGCATTTTACTGGCGCGCCAGAGGGGGCGTTGCCTGAGTTAGCTCCCGACTCAGCGCCGTGGGCCGACCCGAAGGCTGCAGCCCCCGAGTCACAGTGCGAACTGGGGGCCTGAATGCTGTGGTGCCAGGCCTCTTTCCTGGCCCATGAAAGAGCATGTGCAGAGTGCTTTTGCCCCACTGGTTCTCACACTTCTGGGCTTTTGGGAAAGGGCCTTCCAATCTAAAATGTGCAAATGTGTGGCACAAAGGAGACATGGCCTGAAGTAACAGAAACACCGACATTGTCCTCGCGGAAGGTTCTTTCTGCTAGCAACAAAGCCCTGGGCAGGAATGGGGGGCTTTTAGAATGGGGGGGGTGCACCAATGCTGGGAAAGTGCCCAACAGTCTAAGGTTGGAGGTAATGGCGCAGGGGGGGCCAGGAGAGAAGAAGGGGGAAGGCCGCCTTGGGACTGGGATGGGCAGCATTGGCACAGAAGTTCCACACCCCTAGTCTAGAGACACATGGTTCCTCTTGAATCGTGAGGGCTTGGTCCTGCCTGCACGAGAAACTACCATGGCTTTCGTGCCAGGGGGCCCAGCCCCACTCTCAGGAGAAGCGTTCTGACAACAAGCGCACTGGCAGAGAGGACTAGCAGGCCCACAACATTCACATGTCCCCTTTCTCTAACAAGTGCTTTCCTGCATTCCTGCCAGTGCCGTGACAAGACTGGATCCTTCCCTACATGTTTGATTTTTCACTTGGGACATTTTGGCAGCCCATGTTTTGCTTTGCACATTTGTATGTGCCGAATATCTTTGAAACAAAAACCCTACTCTTCATAAACACAGAAAAATCAGGAAGCAACAGTGCAGACTTCTGTTGCTTCCAACGGCAGGGCATTCACAGAGAGAATAATTCAGTTCTGTTCCTGTCCCT